TTCCGCTGGCAAGAACCTCTTGGAAAGAAAGGCACATGGGTGCAGTCTCTTGTCCCCCTCGTTCCACTGTGAAAGGACTGCCCCTGCTCCGGTGTCCGAGGTGTCCACCTCTACCACGAAGAGATGAGTAGGATCAGGATGAACGAGGATGGGTCCAGAGGTGAAACGTCCCTTGAGCTCCACGAATGCCCTGTCAGCCTCGGGGTTCCAGCCAAAACAGGTCAGGGACTTGCGGGTTAAGACCTTGAGAGGCGCCGCCACCACACCAAATTTGCGTATAAAACGCCTGTAAAAATGTGCAAACCCGAGGAACCGCTGGACTTGTTTGAGTGAGATGGGACAGGGCCAGTCGGTGACCGCCTTAGCAAGGTCCATTTGGATGCCGGCGGTAGAGATAATGTGGCCCAGGAAAGAAACTTGGGATACATGGAACTCATAATTCTCTATCTTGATGTATAGTTGACTCTGTAGGAGGCATCTCAGGACTTGGCGGACGTGCAGGATGTGTTCAGGAAGGGTCTTGGATAAGATCAGGATGTCGTCGAGGTAAACAAAGATGAATCGATTCAACCTATCCCTAAGAGTGTCATTGACTAGTGTTTGGAAGACTGCCGGTGAGTTCGATAATCCGAATGGCATGACTAAATACTCATAGTGGCCACTAGGGGTGTTAAAGGCAGTTTTCCATTCATCTCCCTCCCTGATTCTCACCAGATTGTAAGCGTTGCGGCGGTCCAGTTTGGTGAAGAATTGGGCCCCTTGGTCCAGCTCCAAGTCGTCAGACATCAGGCGTAGGGGGTAACGATTCTTAATCATAATCCTGTTCAGCCCTCGGTAATCAATGCAGGGATGCAGACCTCCATCCTTCTTTCCCACGAAGAAGAAGCCTGCACCAGCTGGGGATGTTGAGGAGTGAATGAAACATGCCTCCAGCGACTCCCGGATGTAATTGTCCATGACTGCTGCTTCAGAGGTCGAGACGGTAGGTAGGAGTTCTATGACACAGTCGTATGGATGATGAGGAGGGAGAGTGGCGGCTTACCTCTTACTGAAGGCCTCCCGGAGGTCGTAGTATTCGGGAGGGAGAGTGGAGAAATCTTGGTCTTCAATGGATGCAGGGGGATGCGGAGAGGCTCTTGGTGGGGGTCTTAGACATTTAGTCTGGCAATTCTTACCCCAGTCTAGTAGGTGTCCCGTGGACCAGGAGAATAGTGGGTTATGTAGCACTAGCCAGGGGTACCCTAGGATAAGTGAGTTCTCGGGAGCAGTGATCAAAATAAAACTAAGAGTCTCTGAGCTGTTCACCCCAACCTGCAGTAGAATGGGCCTTGGTCTGATATTCCACCTGGCCGGAGCCAATGGGGCGTCCATCGAGGGCTTAAATCTGCAGAGGGATGGGATATTTCACGCAGGGGATTTGTAATTATCTGGTGAAGTCTTGATCAATGAAATTATCCCGCACCCCGGAGTCCACGAAGGCTTGAATCTGTCCAGTGGAGGGTTGCAGGTAGTGACAGATGGTGACTGGGTAGCCGAGGTGAAACTGCACAGCTCGTCAGGGTCTCCCCTTGTCCTGGCGAGTCCTGGCATTTCCTGTCAACTCTGGGCATGTAGCACGGAGATGGCGAGACCTCCGCAGTAGCGGCAGCAGCCTTTGCGCATGCGCCTGTCACATTCCTGTGGGCTCAGATGTGTGCATCCCAGCTGCATGGGCTCCCCAATGCTGTGCTCGGGGGGATTGGGGTGCTCTGGAAACCGGGATACTGGGGTGGTGTCAAAAAGGCGCTGTCTCACATGTTCTCGGAGGTGGTTGTCAATTCTGATTGCCAGCGTTATCAGGGACTCGAGGTCCTCTCCCAGTTCCCGAGAGGCCAGTTCATCCTTGATGGAATTAGACAGACCCTGGTGGAAAGCGGTGACCAGTGCCGCCGTATTCCACCCACTCTCGGTGGCGAGGGTGCGGAACTCAATGGCGAAGTCAGCCACTGGTCTGGACCCTTGGCGGATGTTGAACAGTCAGCTGGCCGCTTCTCGTCCGCCGACTGGGTGGTCGAAGACTCGTCTCAGCTCGGCAGTGAAAGCTAATATGGAGCTGCAGGATGGTGGCTGCTGTTCCCACACCGCCATTGCCCACGCCAGAGCCTTGCCCGAGAGTAGAGAGATGATGTAGGCGATCATGGCCCGAGCAGTGTGGAATGAGGAGGACTGTAGCTCGAACACCAGAGAGCACCGAGTGAGGAACCCCTTGCATCCTCCCTGGTGGCCGTCATACCACACGGGGGATGGGATCTTGGGTTCCTGGTGCAGGTTCCCTGGAGGAAATACAGCGACGCCTGTAGCACTGGGCGATGAGACTTGGGCATTGGCTCCTCTAGTGTTGGGGTTGGACTGTGGTGGAGGGAATCGGTAAGTGCCCGGAGGGTCTCTGATATTTGGGAGAGTTGTTCTTGCTGCCGCCCCAGCAGTGCTCCTTGGTGGCTTGTAACATTCTTGATCTGGGTGATCTCAGCTGGGTCCATGTTGGAGGCAGAAGCTTCCTGTGACGTGGTGAGGTTGGACCCAGGAACAGATAAACTTAAATACTTTACTGAGAAATGGTAACAGAAGGATCACAGTAACACTGGGAAAACAACAAACACTACGTCTGGAAAACTCACTCAGGAGAAAAACGCACACGGCAAACAAATCAAGCTTCTGCAAAGGAAAACAGTAAACACACCTTTCTTAACAGCGAAATCATAATGAGTAATAGGACACACCTGAGTGTCATTAATGTCTCTAGGAAGGTCTCTGCCGCCCTCTGGTGACAGGTGGAACCATGACAGTTCTGAGGGCAGAAGAGGGTGCAACTCAATATTAGGAAGGTATTCTTAATGTTTGGTATACTCAATTCTACACATTTTGCCATGGGGTTGAGAGAGAGAATTGCAGTTTTTAAGCTCATTTCCTACATTTCTACACATTTTGCCATGAGATGGAGAATGAAAAAATGTAGCTTTAAAGTTAATGTCCTGCAATTTTGCCATGGGACATAGAGAAAATGTTGCAGTTTTAAAGCAAATTTCCTGCAGTTCTACACATTTTGCCACGGGTTGGAGAGAAACTTATTTAGCAGTTTTAAAGTTAATCTCCTGCAATTCTACACATTTTGCCATGTTCAAATGATATCTGAGTGAGAGTGACTAACTAAATCAATGGGGGACCCCTGGTGGTGAGGGTGGCTGGGCACCTTGAGTGCCCGGTCAGTAATTTGGTCATGATTACTACAAGGTTTAGATAGCTGGCAAGACTAATGTTAGCTGACATGGGCTAATTGAGTGAATGTCAGTGACTGACATTACAAGAGGAAAACTGCTGAAATACCAAACTGCTGATGCACTAAAAAATGTGTACTTTGTGTGTCCTACTATCAATCTTAACTAAACAGTAAATTGAGTTGTGATCAATGGCTGTTGAAACCGACTGATTTATTGGGGGCCCTCTATTGGCTGGGGGACCCAAGTGGCCGTTTATGTCTAGAAACTGCACTGGTAACGTCCATTTTAACGTCCATTTCCATCTTTCTCCTCAGTTCTACTTTACTGCTCCTCAATTCTACTTTCTTACCAAGTGGGAATGTGGTAATTACCAGTTGCGAAATCGTAAATACGAGTTGTGTGCTTTCACGTTTTGAACCGGGAAATATCATCAAACATGGTGGTCATTAGAAGGCTTGTGAGGGTTTTGCAATTTTTTGCCGACGAAAAGTATATCCAGAGCTGCTTTCACTTTCTAAATCAAAAGGAAGATGAACAGAATCAATAAACAACAACTGCTGAAGACGCCTCCATGCTTGATGTCTTTTTTGTTGACAAATAACGTCAGAGAGGTGCAGGGGATGATTAGATGAGTTTCCCACTAGTAATTACCATTTGGAGGGGCGTTCAAGTGGATTTTTACCAGTCATATGCTGGTATTTACAAAATTACTAGATGATGTGAATGCAGTTTTATAGAGATGGCTATTTATTATGCAGAGGGGGAGGTACAGACAGGCACAGTAAGTGTTCGGTAGATTATTTACTGTAATCCGATTAGACGTTTTTAAAAAAGTAATCCGGCTGATTACAGTTACTTCATTTAATAATCCCGTTACATGTAATCTGTTACTACCCAACCCTGCACAGTTATTCAGGTCTCTAGATGGCGATGAAGACTAAGAAAATACATCTGAGTGGGGTTAATGGTTTTATTCAAATTGGGCCAAACAAATGTGGGATTTCATTCAAAATCCCCCTAGCGGTGCCGGTTGCAAGTATAAAGTGAGGCGGCAGTGTTTGGATTTGGGGGCTGGATTGCCTATGGAATCTGCTAGTCTGCAGCGCTAGGGCTGTCTACTTTCTCGCATCAGCACCGCGGAGCTTTGATTGCGTTTTAGCCCGGTCTGCCTGCATCTGCGTTCCTTTGATATTAGCCTTCAAAACAGCCGACGAAGAAACGAAAACGACTTATAAGTGTGTCCATCGTAAGTAGCTGTTTTTATTTGACATATTCTGTTTTTGGGCGCTAAAGACGAAGTAGTCTAGACTAGGTTACTGCAGGTGTAGCCCTATGAACATAGCCCGAGAACATAGGATTTATTTTGACGCCTGCTTTATGGCGTTGGAAATGCTGATTTTCCACATTTTTTAAATGTAGAAGATATGCATTTTCGTAAATTAGATGGGGGAAATGATATCTCAAGTTACCCTGCACCCCCACATATTTAATAATTAAACGGGTTTTCAGAGCGTCTTATTAGCCTGTTACAATATTTGATGTTATTATGAAGTTAAAGTTTAAATCCAATGTGTCATTTAAATGTTTAAATATACATGGTTCGATTAAATAAAAAACGTATTGATTTGCATTGTCAGTATATGTTTTATTGTTTGATAAATGACACATGAACAATGAACTAACATATTTGTTGTTATATTTACAGCATCTGCTTGAGAAGTGCACTATTTTCTATTAGTAAAGATGGTTAAACTGGGGAGTAATCTAGAAGACAAAGGCGCTAAACCGGTCAGTGTGGAGGATGGCTTCCAAAACGTGCCTCTTATCACCCCTCTGGACGTCGGTAACCTCCTGTATGGAGCCCCAGACAAGGTAAAATGGACTGTCTGTCTGCTCTGCTCTCCTGTCCTACTCACTCCTTGATTTATTGCCATTGCCATTATGTAATTGAACAGCAAACCCATCTTTCTGTCATTTCAATTGCCCTCTTGCTTCCTTTGTTAAAGCACAGATTAAAGAAGCAGGTTTATAACGGGGATGCACATCATCCATTCAAGGAAGCCAGCAAACATGTAATCTCTAATTTACTTTGACAAGGTTTTTTTATTTTTGGCCCAGCACTGACGACTTCTGCTGCTTATTACACAGAATGATGATGAATGAATCACTGAACTGAACGTGTTAATATGATTGATATGAGTAATGATATTTGTAATTGTTTAATAATGCACATAATTGAATCTTACTTTGAAGGGATTTTCAATCATAACAGCTGATAGGCTAGTGTCCTCGACATGAGCGCAGCAGGTTTTTTATTTTCATAGGAGTGAAGGACAGGTCCTTTGTTGTGTTGTCACAAGGCCTACCTGCTAATGTCATTTCATGCATTTTTTACTTCAGCAGTGAATGCGGATATTAATTTGACATTGAGGATATGCAGAAATAAGTGTCCTCTCCCTGCGATGTATTTGTCAGCTCCCAGCTGATCATGAGGCTGACTCTTGTTTTATTTGATCGGCAACACAGCAGAGCCCGTGGCCCCATGCAGGCCGAGCCCGTCACTCTACAGTAAACATTAGGAGAAGAGCCAGTGACACTTTTGCAGAGTTTTGCTTCAGCCCTCGTCTTGGATTCTGCTAATGAAGGCACAATCTCTCAGTACACCTGCTAACTGGAGTTAACTGCCACTCTACACAGACTCGCAGCATTACAAAAGAGCCCTGTGTCATATTTCACTAGAAGGGCAGCGCCACAATAGCAGGTCCCTTCCTCTACTTCCACAACAGTGTTATAAGGGGAGACTCTGGGGAGGCGGAGGCTCCATTGTCCAGCATGGCAGACAAACACAGACAGACGGAACATCTTTATCTCTTTATCTGTCTGTCTATCCCATGCCCACCCTAGGAGGAATTGGAGCACCATTCAGGATTTTCAATGCGTTGATTCATGCCTCTCAAGTGTCATATAAGATATACTATTCAGAGGGTCAGATTGGGTCAAGAGCAGTGATATTGGGCTGTGATTACTGGAACAGCTGCTTTTGAGAACATGGATAAGTACATAATTGCTGGTTATTTGGAGATGGAGTTGTTGAAGTGGACCAGGTGTCATGCCAATACATTTCCCCAGGGTGGTTGGATAACTAGAAGGCTCTACTGGGTATAGAGCCTTGGAAAATACCATTGAGTTATTTATTTTAATGTGAAAATGTTAACATTTGAAACAATGCAGTGAAGGCTCATTTCATAATGTGTGTAAAGTGGTCCTGTGTTTGCTGAGCAGTGAAAATGACATGAAATGACACGACATCAGAGGGTTTGAATAGTCTTTGTTGTCTCTATGAAGAGTGGACATCAATGGCTCCAGATTCCCCTCAAAGTGCTGTCATTCTAATATCCAGGTTGTCCCTGACAGAGAGTGAGAGGTTGTCTAGGCAGGCTCGCAGAGCTCTGGGGGCAGTGGTGTGTGTAGAGTGGATACAGTGCAGTCTCATTGGGCTACAGATAAGGCATAGCTGTGGGTACAGTTCACATTCTGCTGCTTTCCATGTTCACCCTCTGGTTAAAAGCCTCCCCAGCCTGAGGTGATGTTACTATGTTTTCTCAGAAAGTCTTGGCTGTATGTTATATGCAAATAATTTCCCATGTCTTTTTCTTTTATTTGAGTTTTTAAAAAAATGGGGGTGTATCAGATTGCAGCTTCTATCAATGTAATTGTCTGCATCATTTCCAATCCGTCATATATATATTTTTTATATTTTATATAAATATATTTTCCTTCATTATTTTCCCCTAACCCTACCACCCCTCCCCTAATTGGAGTAAACTAATGGACAACAACACTTAGGTTTCTACTTCCAGCTTATACATACTAACAGTGGAGGCTGCTGAGGGGAGGACAGCTCATAATAATGGCTGGAATGGAGCAAATGGAATGGCATCAAACACATGGAAACCATGGAAACCATGTGTTTGATGTATTTCAGGGTTCTTCAATTCCGGTCCTGGAGGGCCGAAACACCTCTGTTTTTCATCCTCTCCTTCTAATCAGGGGCTAATTCAGACCTGGGACACCAGGTGAGTGCAATTAACTACCAGGTAGAAATAAAAAACAGAAGTGTTTCGGCCCTCCAGGACCGGAATTGAAGAACCCTGATGTATTTGATACCATTGCACCCATGCCGCTCCAGCCATTACCACGAGCCCGTCCACCCCAATTAAGGTGGCACCAACCTCCTGTGCTATATACGTTTTACGTACACAGTATATTTTACATTAGTTATCTTTTGTTTGTATTTAGTCCCACCCTTCAGCTCCCCTCAACCCCTCCCATCTATCTCTGAACATCATCCAGTTTCTATTTGTATTGGCCATATGTTTTTCAACTGTGCTGTGATGTTTCACAAAAGTTCTGAACCTTTCTATTCTTATAGTTTCTACAGATTGTAAATTAAAGATAAACATTTTAGCTAAGAGTATTATTATTTTATTGATCCATTGACTATGACTTTTCACATCACCCAGCAGTGCTATTTGCAGAGCTAACTCCAGGCGAATGTTGCAATTCTTTAGCCATTCCTGAACCTGCAACCAAAAACAAGCTATATATGGACAGTACCAAAGCAAATGATCTAATGACTCTGTCTTTTCACAGCAAAACGTTTATAAGGTGAATGTAAAACGATGTCTGAAATAGATGGAAGAGAAAGTCAACCATTACGCCCTCTCTGAACATTATTACAGAGAGAGGCCTAGAGGTCTAAAGGGTATTTACACATTGTACCTTCAAAAACAACTCAAAACACTGTGGGTTTGAGTCTATTCTGTCATCCTGTGTGGTGTCACGACTGTCTGTGAGATGCGGTAAACGAAGTCAGGCGCAGGACACAGAACTCTCGGATACGTACTTTTAATACGAAAAGGATCCAAAAGGACACAGAAAATAACTCCACGCAGGGAGGAAATAACCCGCTCACAAAAATGACAACCGTGAAGGGGAAAACAATCACACACAAAGTACAGATGAGAGACAGGGGTAATTATAAGGGAAACAATTAACATAATGACGAACAGGTGTAAACAATACAGACAAAACTAAACAAACACCGATAACATCGAACGGCAGTAGCTAGTACTCCGGGGACGACGAACGCCGAAGCCTGCCCGAGCAAGGAGGAGGAGCAGCCTCGGCAGAATCCGTGACAGTACCCCCCCCTTGACGCGCGGCCCCAGCCGTGAGCCGACCCCGGCCTCGGAGACGGCCAGGAGGACGCGGAGCAGGGCGAGTTGGGTGACTCCGGTGGAACTCTGTCAACAGGGAGGGATCTAGGATGTCCCTCCTAGGGACCCAGCACCGTTCCTCCGGACCGTACCCCTCCCACTCCACGAGATACCGCAGACCCCCCATCCGACGCCTCGAATCCACGATGGAACGGACTGAGTACGCCGGAGCCCCTTCGATGTCTAGTGGGGGCGGAGGGGCCTCTCGTACCTCATTCTCCTGGAGTGGACCAGCTACCACCGGCCTGAGGAGAGACACATGGAACGAGGGGTTAATGCGATAATTAACAGGCAGCTGTAACCTATAACATACCTTGTTCAATCTCCTCAGGACTTTAAATGGCCCCACAAACCGCCGGCCCAGCTTCCGGCAGGGCAGGTGAAGGGCAGGTTTCTGGTCGAGAGCCAGACCCGATCTCCCGGTGCATAAACCGGACCCTCACTGCGGTGGCGATCGGCGCTCGCCTTTTGCCGTCTGACTGCCAGATGCCCACTGCGCAGCGTTCCATGTCTCCTCCGAGCGCCGAAACCATTCATCCACCGCAGGAGCCTCGATCTGGCTCTGATGCCAGGGTGCCAGAACCGGCTGATAGCCCAACACACACTGGAAAGGAGTGAGATTCGTGGAGGAGTGGCGGAGTGAGTTTTGGGCTATCTCTGCCCAGGGAATATACCCCGACCACTCCTCCTGCCGGTCCTGGCAGTAGGACCTCAGAAACCTACCCACATCTTGGTTTACTCTCTCCACCTGCCCATTACTCTCAGGGTGAAAACCAGAGGTAAGGCTGATCGAGACCCCCAAACGTTCCATGAACGCCCTCCACACTCTAGAGGTGAACTGGGGACCCCGATCAGACACTATATCCACAGGCACCCCGTATTGCCGGAAAACGTGAGTAAACAGGGCTTCGGCCGTTTGTAGGGCTGTAGGAAGACCTGGCATAGGGATGAGATGGCAGGCCTTAGAAAACCGATCCACAACGACCAAGATCGTGGTATTCCCCTGGGAGGGGGGAAGGTCCGTGACAAAATCCACTGACAGGTGAGACCACGGCCGTTGTGGAACGGGGAGAGGTTGTAACTTCCCCCTGGGCAGGTGTCTAGGCGCCTTACACTGGGCGCACACCGAGCAGGAAGAAACGTAAACTCTCACGTCCTTAGCTAAGGTGGGCCACCAGTACTTCCCGCTAAGACAGTGCACCGTCCGACCAATACCAGGATGACCAGAGGAGGGTGACGTGTGAGCCCAATAAATCAGTCGGTCACGGACCTCGAGCGGCACGTACCTCCGTCCCTCTGGACACTCTGGGGAAGAAGGGTCTGTACGTAACCCCCGCTCGATTTCCGTGTCGACCTCCCACACCACGAGACAAGACTCCGGTAGTATGGGAGTGGGCTCAATGGACCTCTCCTCTGTGTCATATCGTCGGGACAGGGCGTCTGCCTTAACGTTCTGTGACCCGGGGATATACGTGATCTTAAAGACAAACCGGGCCAGAAACATGGCCCACCTAGCCTGACGAGGGTTCAGTCTCTTCGACTGCCCGGATGTACTCCAGGTTACGATGGTCAGTCAGAATGAGAAAAGGGTGGTTAGCCCCCTCAAGCCAATGTCTCCACACCTTCAGGGCCTGGACCACAGCTAGCAGCTCCCTGTCCCCCACGTCATAATTGCGCTCCGCCGGACTGAGCTTCTTAGAATAGAAAGCACAGGGGCAGAGTTTTGGAGGCGTGCCCGAGCACTGAGACAGTATAGCACCGATCCCCGCCTCGGACGCATCCACCTCGACTTGGAACGCCAAAGAGGGATCCGGATGTGCCAGCACCGGAGCTGAGGTGAACAGGTCCTTCAAATGACTAAACGCCCTGTCCGCCTCAGCCGACCACTGCAAACGCACCGGGCCCCCCTTTAGCAGGGAGGTAATGGGAGTAGCTACCTGTCCAAAACCCCGGATAAACTTCCGGTAGTAATTGACAAAACCCAAAAACCGCTGCACCTCCTTTACTGTAGTTGGAGTCTGCCAATTACGCACGGCTGAAACGCGGTCAATCTCCATCTCCACCCCTGACGCAGACAACCGGTGTCCCAGGAAGGAGATGGACTCCTGGAAAAACAGACATTTCTCTGCCTTCACATACAGATCATGCTCCAACAGTCTACCCAGCACCCGACGTACCAGGGACACATGCTTGGTACATGTAGCGGAGTATATCAGAATGTCATCAATATACACCACTACCCCCTGTACATGCAAATCCCGGAAAATCTTGTCTACAAATGATTGGAAGACTGAAGGCGCATTCATTAGACCGTATGGCATGACGAGGTACTCATAGTGACCCGAGGTGGTACTGAAGGCTGTTTTCCACTCATCTCCCTCCCGAATGCGCACCAGGTTGTAAGCGCTCCTGAGATCCAATTTTGTGAAGAAGCGCGCCCCGTGTAATGACTCCGTCATACTAGCAATCAGAGGGAGAGGATAGCTGTATTTAATAGTGATCTGATTGAGACCACGTTAATCAATACACGGGCGTAAACCCCCATCCTTCCTCTTCACAAAAAAGAAACTTGAGGACGCAGGAGAAGTGGAAGGCCGTATGTATCCCTGTCTCAAGGATTCGGCGACGTATGTCTCCATAGCAGCCGTCTCCTCCTGAGACAGAGGATACACATGGCTGCGAGGGAGCGCCGCGCCAACCTGGAGGTCTATCGCACAATCCCCCTGTCGATGAGGTGGTAATTGAGTCGCCTTCTTCTTACAGAAGGCGCTTGCCAAATCGGCATACTCAGGAGGAATGTGCATTGTGGGCATTTGGTTCGGACTCTCCACCGTCGTTGACCCTACGGAAACACCTACACACCGCCCCACACACTGATCAGACCATCCCTTGAGAGCCCTCTGTTGCCATGAAATGTTGGGGTCATGAGATATTAACCAGGGAAGTCCCAACACCACTGGAAACGCAGGAGAGTCAATTAAATACAACTGTATAGTCTCCTCATGACCCTTCTGCGTTTTCATCTTCAGTGGCGCTGTGACCTCCCTAATCAATTCCGACCCCAAAGGCCGGGATTGATAGGGAAGGGCACATCGACTGGTAATATAGGGATCCCTAACTTATATGAGAAATGGCGATCGATAAAATTCCCAGCTGCGCCTGAATCGACTAGCGCCTTATGCTGGGAGTAAGAAGAAACTTCTGGAAACATCACTTGGATACACATATGAACAGTAGAGAGCTCTGGGTGAGTTGGGACCTTACTCACCGGGAATGACTCATCAGTGCGCTGCCTGCTGCCTCGAATCCGAGGAGACCCTCCCCAGCACCGAACCGCCGTGTGTCCTCGTTGGCCACAGTTGGTGCAGGGGACAGCCTCCTTCCTGACCTCCCTACTACCAGCACCCCCGAGCTCCATAGGGCTCGGCTTGGAGGTGCTGGGGGATGGAATGGACGGCCCCAGCGCTGGACGTCCGCGGGTAGCCAACAGGGTATCCAAGCGAATCGACATGTCCACCAGCTGATCGAAGCTTAGGTTGGTGTCCCTGCAGGCCAGCTCTCGACGAACGTCCTCCCTCAGGCTGCATCTGTAGTGGTCGATGAGGGCCCTCTCATTCCATCCCGAATTGGCAGCCAGAGTCCGGAAGTCCAGTGCAAATTCCTGCGCGCTCCTCCTCCCCTGTCTGAGGTGGAATAGACGCTCACCTGCCGCCTTCCCCTCCGGGGGATGATCGAACACTGCCCTGAAGCGGCGGGTGAACTCCGCATAGTTCACAGTAGCGGCGTCTATCCCTCCCCACTCGGCGTTGGCCCACTCCAGTGCCTTGCCGGACAGACAGGAGATGAGGGCGGACACGCTCTCGTATCCCGAGGGTGCCGGGTGAATGGTTGCCAGGTAAAGTTCCACCTGGAGCAGGAAACCCTGACACCTGGCTGCGGTGCCATCATAAGCCCTCGGGAGCGAGAGCCGAATCCCACTGGACTCCGGATGTGAGACGATAGGAGTAGCCGATGGTGGTGGTATCGTTGGAGGAGGTGTGGGCAAACCTCCTCTCTCCCATCGTCCCAAAGTGTTCCTAACGTTATCCATAGCGGCACCAAGATTTTGGAGCATCGCTGCCTGTTGTAGGACGCGCTCCTCGAGTGATCCGGTCGTTGCCGTCGCTCCTGCTGACTCCATGTTGTGGTGTGTGATTCTGTCACGACTGTCTGTGAGATGCGGTAAACGAAGTCAGGCGCAGGACACAGAACTCTCGGATACGTACTTTTAATACGAAAAGGATCCAAAAGGACACAGAAAATAACTCCACGCAGGGAGGAAATAACCCGCTCACAAAAATGACAACTGTGAAGGGGAAAACAATCACACAAAGTACAGATGAGAGACAGGGGTAATTATAAGGGAAACAATTAACATAATGACGAACAGGTGTAAACAATACAGACAAAACTAAACAAACACCGATAACATCGAACGGCAGTAGCTAGTACTCCGGGGACGACGAACGCCGAAGCCTGCCCGAGCAAGGAGGAGGAGCAGCCTCGGCAGAATCCGTGACATGTGGAAGGAGTTGTCAGGGAGCTACAGCTGTTTTTATCCCTATAAGTCTAACCACTGCTGGCTATGTGACCAGGGCTACAGGGCAGCAGGGGGACAAACAGGCCATGGAAACACAATTCTCTGTGGGCTAGTGCTGAGCGATCAGGGAGGAATTAGACCTGATCCCATCTGGACAGCCAGTGACGTGCCTGCAGGCCGTAGGGTCTCCAATATCTTGATTGGGTGAGAAACTAGCAGAGTAACTGAGCTGTGGAGTGTAATGAAGGGTCTTACATGCAGCACTTTGAATCAATCGTTTTCATCAGAATTCAGGCCCCAGGCCAAGCCTTTGATTGCACTTCTTTCAGAACAAGCTGCTGTTTTACAGGGTGAACTGGATGACCCATCACTTGGCCCACACATCTAAGAGCTTGTTGGTTGTTGGATGAGGGATGCCATGTTGTGACTCTGTACAGTACAAATTAGTTGTCTAATACACACCTGGAGTTTCCCCTCAGAATAACTGCAGTGTTTCTTAACAACACATCAAAGCATAAAGCAGAATCTAGCCCATATTTTGGGGCTTTTTTGTTTGTTATCTTGGTAGGCTTATTATCTTGGTAGGCTTATTATCTTGATAGGCTTATTATCTTGGTAGGCTTATTATCTTGATAGGCTTATTATCTTGATAGGCTTGTTATCTTGGAAGGCTTATTATCTTGGTAGGCTTATTATCTTGGTAGGCTTATTATCTTGGTAGGCTTATTATCTTGATAGGCTTGTTATCTTGGAAGGCTTATTATCTTGGTAGGCTTATTATCTTGGTAGGCTTATTATCTTGGTAGGCTTATTATCTTGATAGGCTTGTTATCTTGGAAGGCTTATTATCTTGGTAGGCTTATTATCTTGGTAGGCTTATTATCTTGGTAGGCTTATTCTTTTGAGTTTCTTTGGAGTTTCACCTCCTTATTCCTCGTAGCAGTGGTGCAGTGATTCATGTGCATTATTCAGACAGGAAGCCATGGGATACGTCCCAAGTGGTAGCGTATTCCCTATTTGGTGCACTACTTTTGACTAGAGCCATATTCCCTAAAAGTAGTGCACTAAATAGAGAATAGGGTGCCATTTGGGATTTAACCATAATGACATAAAATGGTCTAGGATTAGATAACGATCTCTCTGTGATCTTATTATCAGCCATGTTGATCCAGGTAAATTATAATGCAAATACAGTCCGTTTGATTATCTGACACAGGGGATCTCCTAGGACAGGGTTCTTCAATTCCGGTCCTGGAGGGCCGAAACACCTCTGTTTTTCATCCTCTCCTTCTAATCAGGGGCTAATTCAGACCTGGGACACCAGGTGAGTGCAATTAACTACCAGGTAGAAATAAAAAACAGAAGTGTTTCGGCCCTCCAGGACCAGAATTGAAGAACCCTGGACTAGAATGACCTACTGTACCTAGGGAACTGCATGTCCTAACCCAGGGGTAGCCTACATATTGCTTTTTGCTACGAATGAGAAATGAAATGGCAGTGGTAATAATAACAGTGTCTATAAAAAAAAAGACAGAGGTGCATGGGGTGCAGACAGCCTGGTAATTCAGGGGGAAATGAAATGTCAACGTGATGGGGAAGGAGTTAGAGAGGCTGTAATTGCGGAGTTCATGACAAGTAGCTTAGTCTTGGAGACTTCAGGACAATATAATGCCATTAATTCCAGGTTGTGCTGTGGAGAGGAGGTACCAGGGGTTTGTGGAAGGTGCAATTATTTTGGAAATGTATTCCTTGATCCTGTTATTAGAAGCCCTAGCACCATTCAGTTCCTGTAATTTGGCAAGTTGGAGAGGTCCAGGGGAGGAGTGTCTGCAGATAGATATCTGAGAGGAGCAGTACAGTCACAGTGGCTTGTAGAAAGTGATAAGGAACCAGCAGTACAAAGTGCTGAATCCATCAGTCATTTACCGCAGAGTATACTTTCTGCCGAAACCTTTAATGTGACTTTCATACAAGCAGCACAATGAGGCTCACAGGGATGTAATCACATCTCTCTCTGTCCCCCTCTGTGTTTTGACTGCTATTCTGAGCCAATTTCAGTGACGAATGGCAGAGTGACAGTACTGCGACAGGCCTCTACTTACCCAACTCTCTGTTCCTCTACATCGTTGTTAAAAGAGAGTGGATTGGTTCTGATTGGGGAGCATCATACGGGGCAGTGCCTAAAATAGCCACCCTCTGACAGTTGCTTGGCAGAGGCAGAGGCAGAGGTTAGAGTTTTTATGTTTCTCTCTCTGCCCTTGAATAGATAACACAGTGATGACGTAACATGGTGATGACGTAACACGGTGATGACGTAACACGGTGATGACGTAACACGGTGATGACGTAACACAGTGATGACATAACAGTAAGACTGTGCGGTATGATGGCTCTGTCTAACGGAAGTCCAGCTAACCCCTAAGGGCCATTTTTTGCTGTGTCACTGTAACTGACTGTGTTTTGTCCTCTCCTTTCTCCACAGGTGGTGGTGAAGACACGGACTGAGTACCAAACGGACCAGAAAAAATCAAAGATGAAGGTGCCCAAGGTGGAGGAGTTCACCATCAGCTTCACTGATGGAGTGTCAGAGAGACTCAAGGTACTCGGAAAGTTAATTTCTTAATTCACTGAGACAGACCAACTCTTCCCTCAGCGCTAAGATGCTACTTCGCTACGTTGCTGCCTGCTAGCGTTGTTAATATTAGAATTCCGCTCCGTTAAGCACATATAGTGTTCCTGAGGAGTTATCTTTCGGAATGCATCAGTTTCACTGGAAGCGGATGTAAGTTCAATTCCTTAGGTGCTGTACAGGGAACAAAATGGTAATTGGGTTATCATGGTAGCCAGATCTCATGCGTAAGCTCATGAGAATCTCTGAAAAACTTGAGCTAGCAAGCTGAACGTCCATGTGAATATAACAGTGTGTGATCCACAGTACCTGAGAACATACTGGATGTTTCTTCTGGACTTATTACACATTATTAACATACGAAGCAGATACCCAGGTTGAAATGGAAATGGACCTGTAGTTTCTTATAGATCCACTCTGTCACTAACAGTGAGAGGAGACCCAGACCATAGAGTGAAATGGATTGACCTCATCCATAATTAACACACACTCTGCTTTCATTGGCCTCAATAGCAGCGGTCATTGTTCCCTCGGCACATCAAATCAATGGGCTGCAATCTCTTATACAGTCCTGAGAGTGAGGGCTAGGGCTGGGAATTGCCAAGGGACCTCACAATATGATATTATCAATAGACTTACTATTGCAATTCCCAGGATTCTATAGGTATTGCGATCAAATACTGTAATGTTTTTGCGATTTGATGTTACCAAAATATTTCCCATATGTCCCGTGTGGCTCAGTTGGTAGAGCATGGCACTTGCAACACCAGGCTTGTGGGTTTGATTCCCACGGGGGACCAGTACGGAAAAGTAAAAAAATGTATGCGCTCACTACTGTAAGTCACTCTGGATAAGAGCGTCTGCTAAATGACTAAATGTCCTATTGCTCAGTAGGTCTTCTGCAGAAAGAGAAAATGAGTTTTGATCAGTCATGGAAATAAAAGTATTGAAAACATGTTGGCTCACTATTTAAAAAGAAGATGGAGAACAAGCTATAGGATGAAAAATACTGGAGTTTTGGCGCAGGTACAGCCGACTAGCGCTAGCTAACGCTATCTAGCGAAACCACACAACAAAAATATAGATATATTTTAGCAAATCGATACTTGGAGTCAAAATATCAACATAATATCATCCTAAATAATATTGTGATATGTAACTGTATTGATTTTTTCCCCACATCACTAGTCAGGGCTATAACCATTTTAGGTGCTGTTTAATGTTGATGGAAGAGAAGGTTCTGCAGAGTGTTTGACTATAATTATGTTGCCGTTAAATGTCATTTGAGGAGCCGGCAGAGGAAGAGAGAGAGAATGAAATATTCAACACAAACAGGCTGTGAAGCTTGTCTGAGTGGGATTGTGACTGACTGAGAGGCGGATCTCTCCTGTCTTGCTCCCTCTGTGGCAGAGTGGAGAGGCTTGATCGACCATGCCTGGCCTTCCCTCCCACAGCTGGGAGATGAGACGGAGGTATTTGACCTGGAAACAAGGAGAGCCCTCTCTTGCAGACTGCATGGCGCAATGCGCTATCAACTTCTGTTTGGTGGAGGGGAATTCAAATGAGAGCCTTTTTTTATAACTCAGTCTGATGTGTGTGCTGTAGGATCTTTTTGGGGGGCTGCCTGCCTTGCATGACTGATGGAGCTGAATGGGCAGGGGTGTTTTCTGACTATCATCCCAGCCTAGCGCTGACTGTGTAGAAAGCTCACACATCGTCTCGCCATAGCAGATTGTGTTGATGGATGAAGCGCTCAAAGTATATATGCCTCACCTCCCTGCGATTGCTCCCAGTTGAGTTGAGCGTGGCCAAATTCCCCATTGTTACTTTATCCGGGAACAGGGGGAGGAACGTCTTCCTTCATTAAACACACAAAACAAAAGAAGACGGAGGTCTCTTGGTATCTGATGCAGCAAAGCGTAACATATTAACATATCATGTCTATTGCACTCCACACTGCCCTTTCCCACCTGGACAAGAGGAACACCTACGTGAGAATGCTATTAATTGACTACAGCTCAGCGTTCAACACCATAGTGCCGTCAAAGCTCATAACTAAGCTAAGGACCCTGGGACTAAACACCTCCCTCTGCAACTGGATCCTGGACTTCCTGACGGGCCGCCCCCAGGTGTTAAGGGTAGATAACAACACATCTGCCACCCCGATCCTCAACACGGGGGCCCCTCAGGGGTGCGTGCTCAGTCCCATGCTGTACTCCCTGTTCACCCATGACTGGATGGCCAGGCACAACTCCAACACCATCATTACGTTTGCAGACGACACAACAGTGGTAGACCTGATCACCAACAACGATGAGACAGCCTATAGGGAGGAGATCAGAGACCTGGCCGTGTGGTGCCAGGATAACAATCTCTCCCTTAACGTGATCAAGACAAAGGAGATGATTGTGGACTACAGGAAAAAAAAGAGGACTGAGCACGCCCCCATTCTCATCGACGGGGCTGTAGTGGAACAGGTTGAGAGCTTCAAGTTCCTTGGTGTCCACATCACCAACAAACTATCATGGTCCAAACACACCAAGACAGTCGTGAAGAGGGCACGACAAAGCCTATTCCCCCTCAGGAGATTTGGCATGGGTCCTCAGATCCTCAAAAAGTTCTACAGCTGCACCATCGAGAGCATCCTGACTGGTTGCATCACTGCCTGGTATGTAAACTGCTCGGCCTCAGACCGCAAGGCACTACAGAGGGTAGTGCGTACGGCCCAGTACATCACTGGGGCCAAGCTTCCTGCCTTCCAGGACCTCTATACCAGGCGGTGTCAGAGGAAGGCCCTAAAAATTATCAAAGACTCCAGCCACCCTAGTCATAGACTGTTCTCTGTGCTACCGCAAGAGCAAGCAGTACTGGAGCGCCAAGTCTAGGCCCAAAAGGCTTCTTAACAGCTTCTACCCCCAAGCCATAAGACTCCTGAACAGCTAATCATGGCTACCTGGACTATTTGCATTGCAAATAGTCCAGGTAGCCAACAGTAGACAGTTGCAGCCAACAGTATTTTTCAGTGACAACACGTTTCTGGTGGTGGCCTTCTTCCGTTACACACAGGTGTTCGGAGCATGCTAGATAGCTAATTTGTATAGGTGGTCCCTCCATCTGCATGGAGATGTGGCCATGTGGGGACACTAACCCTAACCCTATAAAGGTGTGTGTCCATTTCTCGCTGATATGAAAGGTAAGGTCCTTATGCTTCTAAAACTGTACTGCAAGCGATGCGTGTTAATGTTCAGACCGAGCGTCAGGGCTCCTAACAAAACTCCCCCGTACAGAAGACGCCTTCGTCCAATGGCTCTTATCTGTAATGTAATGTAATGGAACTGAGAGACATGAACAATGGCTAACTCTCCCCATGTGCACATGAGTATAGAGAAAATGACATGAAAGAGCAGGGAGCTGAGCTGAGACGCCTCTCTCTCTGTCAAGGGACTCAGTAGAATGAGAATGAAAGGCAGGTGCAGGCTGGGTGTCTCAGCTAGCAGATGAAATCTCCACATATCCAACAATACTGGCAGATCCCTGAGGCTGTTTAGTCGGCCATTTTATCAGGAGACAGAGCGAGAGAGAGAGTGAGAGAGAGAGAGCATAGAGTAGTAGAGAGTAGTAGAGAGTATAGAGTAGTATCAACGAATAGGCAGATCTGAGGTTAGAGTCGATTTTAGAGAGAGAAAGTGAGTGAGGATAGAGTATAGAGTAGTATGAGAGTATAGAGGTAGTATAAGAGTAGAGAGTTAGGTAGAGAGTATAGAGTAGTAGAGAGTATAGAGTAGTAAGATATAGAGTAGTAAGAGTATAGAGTAGTTAGATTGTAGAGAGTACAGAGTAGTAGCGAGTAGATGAGAGTCCCACAGTAGTTCAGATGGTGTAGAGAGTATAGAGTACGTAGTCAGAGTATGGAGTAGTAGAGAGTATGCGTAGTAGAGACTAGAGTGTAGAGATATAGATAGTAGAGAGTATAGAGTAGCTAGAGTTAGGTAGTAGAGTATAGGGTAGTAGAGAGTATAGATAGTAGACAGTATGGTAGTAGAGTAGTTAGTAGTAGATTAGTAGAGGTATAGAGTCAGTAGGAGTATAGAGTAGTAGGAGTTAGAGTATGGAGTCGAGTATAGGTAGTAGACAGTATAGAGTAGAGAGTATCGAGTAGTATACGAGTATCGAGTAGTCGCAGTATAGAGTAGTAGACAGTTAGACGTAGTAGAAAGTATAGAGTAGTATAGCGTCAGAGTAGTAGAAGTATCGGTAGTAGAGGTCAAGGCGTAGTGAGTGTAGGAGTATGCGTAGTGAGTAGTGAGATATAGAGTAGTCGAGATATAGGGTAGTAGGGCTACGCGTAGTAGAGAGTTCTAGGTGTGGGTACGTAGTAAGGTAGTAGTACGAGATAGTTAGTAGAGAGTATGAGTAGTAGAGAGTATAGATTAGTAGGAGTTAGATTAGTAGAGATAGAGAGTATAGAGTATTAGCGATTAGGGTCGTAGGAGTATCGAGTAGTAGGACAGTATCGGGTAGTGAGGTATAGCGTCGTTAGAGTCTCGATAGTCAGAGAGTAGTAGACGATCGTTGAGGTCGTAGAGATTGTCAGGTCTCGAGTAGTAGGGTTAGAGTCTAGAGCGTTAGTAGTAGCGAGTCATAGAGTGGTAGGACGTATCGAGTAGAGACGTCTAGAGTCGTAGCGTATAGGTAGTATCAGTCTAGATTAGTACGAGATTATAGATCGTGAGGTATGATAGTAGGCGTATAGGTAGTGAGAGTTGATTAGTAGAGAGTCTCGAGTAGAGAGTATAGAGTAGTGAGCAGTATAGCGTCGTAGAGAGTATAGAGTAGTAGAGAGTTAGAGTCGTAGAGAGTATAGATTCGTAGGCGTCTAGGTAGTGACGGTATGCTTAGTAGAGAGTATCGATAGTAGAGAGTTAGGAGTATAGACGGTATAGAGTATAGGGTCGTAGGCGTATAGAGTAGTAGCCAGTCTGGGTGTGAGGTATAGGTAGTTAGCGTCAAGTGTAGTTCGAGGTAGTAGAGATTGTGGAGTCGTAGGATTAGTGAGGTATGAGTTTGGGTTAAGAGTGTAGAGAGTTCGCGTAGTAGAGAGTATAGAGTAGTAGCCGTCTAAGAGTCGTGCGAGTATGATAGAGTAGTAGAGAGTATAGAGTAGTAGAGAGTATAGATTAGTAGATAGTATAGAGTAGTAGAGAGTATAGATTAGTAGAGAGTATAGAGTAGTAGAGAGTATAGAGTAGTAGAGAGTATAGAGTAGTAGAGAGTATAGATTAGTAGAGAGTATAGAGTAGTAGAGAGTATAGAGTAGTAGAGAGTATAGATTAGTAGAGAGTATAGAGTAGTATAGAGTATAGATTAGTAGAGAGTATAGAGTAGTATAGAGTATAGATTAGTAGAGAGTGTAGATACAATGTGTTTGTTCATGTGTGGGTGTTAAGAGACAACACATTTTTCAGATTGTGAGGCATCACATTGATTTACATGGCTTCTCTGTGGAACTGTACATTTGTAAATATGTTAAACAGAAAACGATCATTTCTAGACTCGATTTCCACATAGAGGCTTTTCTCATTGGCTCTGCCACACAACTGAGGCCAGTCAATGGCCAGTATGGATCAGCCTGTTCTGTGACAGTCAGTCGTCCAGTCAGGAGCTGTGTTGTGGCCCGCGGCCAGCAGCAATCCTCCTCCAGACTATAATTTATGACTATCCTCTCGTCTGTCACTTGCGCCTTACGAGGGCTGCAGCCCTGCGTTTCTAAAATGCCAGTAAATACAAACACCCACTCACTCACTCACCCTGGAGCCATAGAAACACTGCCAGGTCCTAGTGGTAGCCAATTAGAGACACCTCCCTGGTTAACGCTGGCCATTGATTGGTTGGATTAATCATCCATGCTGTTCCTGGGCAGCCCTGACCCCCCAGCCCAGTTTAGCGGCCAGTGGTGCTGACTGACTGCCTGCCTGTCAGTGTTCCGATGATCGAACGCTTTCAGTTATTCCGATTACAGCTGGGTCCTCCTCCACACTCTCTGGGACATAGAATCTATCAACATGTCATTGCATGGGGAGGTTTCACTTTGAATGGTTATGTCATGAGTGGATAGGAGGCATTGCATGATAGCTAAGATTGAACATGTGGAAATACTGTTACAATTAATTACTTTCCCCTTTATTGTCCCTCCCCCTCCACATGTACAAACAGATACACGCAATGGGTTATGTGGGCTACAGATGGGAAATACTATATGTAAATGTATTACTTCTATTCACTGTTCCATTGGACCAAAAGGAATAACAAAAGACGGTTGGTAGTGTGTGCCAAAGGGGCAATTTATTTTTGTAATTTGTCATTTAAAAAAGGACAGCATATTCAAGCTGCCGCGGGGGCCAAGGGTTTTTGTGTGTGAGCAATGC